AAGAAATAGACAGGAAAAAACATAGAAAATAGTTTTCCTTCATGCGCAAAAGTAGGACTAGGGAATCCTCCTTAACGATATTTGTCTATTAGTAGATACCTGGCATTCATTGTATTGATCTATCGGCAGTTAGAAGCATTTTTTCCAATATTTGGGAAAATAAAAAACTAAATCATTCATCCCCAATATATTTTTAGTTTCTCCATGGTAATTGTATTACTTTTTTTTAACTGAATATTGATCTGTAGAAGTTACCGATTTCTATCAAAAATAAAATCCGCATAAACTATATTTGATGTTTCATTGACGATATATAACGCGGTGAGTCAGATCTATATGAGCTGTTATTCAAATTGATGAGTTCCGTACAATGAACTTGTTTTTTAAACCTGAGTTGAATCCCAGTTGATTAATAATTAATCCATATTCCAACACTCCGGGGTGTCATAGAATTAATTTAATAGATAATGTTATCGAATCAAGGAAAATTCTAATCCACCTTATCAAATAAAACTGACAACTGTATACCTTCTGCCTCATTTATAATCATCAGACAATGAAAACTTTGATTGTTAGCACGGCACCATTAAAAGTGCTCTATTAAGTCGTAGGCATCTTTGAGAAAGATAAAGAATGAAAACAGTGCCTCTTATCTCTAGTTATCGTGCCCACTACACTCCTACTGTAGCGATAAGCTTCCAATCGCCAGCAGTCGTGAAGAGACCGTGCCTTAGGACGCAGCTTAGCTAAGGGAAAAGAGACTGATATCATCTCAGCATTGCGTTCTTTCTATATTTTTTAGTTAAATGCAAATAGTGATTAGCTGAAAATAAAAATTGATTTTTTACTTTGTGTTCGTCCAATGGCTGAGTCTAGTGTTTCTTTTTCATTGTTCGAAAAGCCCTCCTATTTATATGTTATATTCAAGATCCTTAATTAAAAACACTGCAGTTATATCTATATATTATTTTTTGGCGATGTTCTTATAAAAGGAAACTATTATTGTGCACATTGATTAACGATTATTATTATTATTGATTCCGTATCCGGAATCCATTGCAAATAGAAATTGTTTCTCAGATTACTGATTATGAACACTTCTGCTAAATAATCTTAATTTTTTTCTGTTTTGAGCTTGTGCAGACGAGCCAACAGTGCTGATGGGTCAATTACTGAATGACAATTTCCTCTGTAATTTAGCATCATGGAAGTATTTAAATCCCTATTATTGGCAGAAAAACTGTGCATAAGTTTCAAAAATGCGTTCTGTATATTATCAGGTCGGAAAATTACCTGTGAATATGAGAAATGCCAATAAATCATCTTCCAAATGAGTATTTGAAATTCCTTTTACTATTGAAACTCGCGACCTACATTGAGCCGAAAAATTTCACACGAAATTTTCTTACCCCTTACGGGAAATTCGTACTAAATTTAAATGATAAATTAGCAATTATGTACCAGACTTTATCGGCGTAGAAAACAAGATCATTATTCTAAACCCTCAAAAAATCATGATTAGCCTATATCATGAGATTTTACATCAATCTATTAACTTCAAAAGTGTCTGGAGATATTAGGGTAACATGGACCAGCGGGCCCCCCCTTTTTTTAAACGTACTTTTTGATGAAGTTTTATTTGATACGAGGTGGTTCTTGGTTTGTTTAAAGGTAAAACTAATGATGAATGTATATATGACGTGAATTGGACACCTATAGAGTTATTCAATTTTTAATGAAACACTATTTTGTAAAAAGTGTCAAAATGGGCCCCTGCATGGGGCAATAACTATATAACTAAATTCTCCAGAGCCATTGCCCCAAAAATTTCTTGACATAAAAATGTATATCCTTGACTTGAAAAATATATCCTTGCCATAAAAAAATTCATCCTTGACATGAAAAAATGTATCTATGACTGGAAAAAAATATATAACTCTGTACTCACTGCACTGAGTGACAGAGAGCGCATTTTCTCGTTGACGAAAACTTGGTCACGGACGGACAGACGGACAGACAGACGGATATGACGAGCACAATAGCGCCTTTTTTCCACAAATGAGAAAATGCGCTAAAAATGTACTTTCTTGGTCAGAATAAACTTCGTTCCAGTTTCGTCCATAATCCAGATATTATGTGCAGGGAATTCGTACTTAATCGTGACTCCAGCCAAAACTATAAACTCGTCAACTTTTGGCTCATTTGTGTTGACTGAAATCAACTTTTGGCACGGCATGTGTCAATGACTTGACAAGGGGTCATAAATACGCATAACTAGAAACTAGAACCTGCAGCTGCCTTGAGGCGGCAAATAAAATAAATATATATAACTCAGTACTCACTGCAGCTAGTGAGTGACAGAGAGCGCATTTTATCGTCGACGAAACGTGGAGTCACGGACGGACAGACGGACGGACGAACAGACGAACATGGCGAGCACAATAGTGCATTTTTTCCATAAATGAGAGGTATTGAGCCCACCATATGGGCGCTTTGCTCCGTGACACGTGACTTTGCCCCGTTGCCCCAGTAGGTGTCATTTCAATTTATATCGTGTTAACATTTTATTTTAAAAGCTAATAGTTTAAACTTTAACTAAAAATCTCCCCTATATATAATAATTTTAAAATATAATTCACAGTATGGTCAGAAGCTTCATATACAGTGATCGAAAACAGTTTTATTTAGCAATAAAAAAAACTTTTATATGGGCTATAACAGTTAATTGCGAGTAACTTTACCAACGCAAACTCTTAGCAAGACACAGAGCTGTACACTTCATCCCAGTGAAACTGTCGACCGGCGGTAGAGAACACGGACCAATATCTGCCATACTTAGCGAGAAACCCGCTATGGGCCCATGACCCGCAGTGGGCTCGCTGCCCCATATGCTACCCTACACTTCAAAATAATACAATAGGCAGCGCATTATAGAATAGAATCTTTTGGGACAGTCCTATACAAAGAATTTCGCAATTTCTCATCTGTGAAAGTCTTGTACAATTGCTATGACAATTCCTGCTTTGTGAAAGTCTTGTACAATGGTTATCGTAATTCCGGATTCATGATAGGCTTGCGCAGACATAACTTCAGCACACGCATGATAGGCTTGTGCTGACATAACTTTCACAATTCCTGATTTTGGATTTTAATTCAATGACCATCACAAATATATATAATGATTCTATAATGAATCAAAATTTAGGATGCTTTAGAAAAATTAGCATCGAGTTATTTATTTTAATTTCGATTAATCCATTGTAGCAAAGTTGTAATGATTTTTGTGTGTTAATTAATTATTCTTATCATTGCTTGTATCATTATTATTAATATTATTATTGTTATAATTTATTATTATCATTATAATTATTATTATTATCACATTTATAAAACCATTCTAGAATGGTTACTCGCAATGTTAACCGAAGAACAATTTGTCTCATAAATAATAACAATTATCATACAATAATTCACCATGTCAACAACAAAACAATACATTACTGCATACGGTATACCAATCAAAGAACAATATTTATATCGTTATATGAATTCTTACTATGAATTGTTTAAAATTTGTTACAAGTGCTAGAAGCTAAATAAACGAGGCGGGTATGGAATATTACAGAAATGCCAAATAAAAAAGGAACTAGATGAAAATAATTGTTTTCGAGTATCATAACACAGAAGCAATATGGTGTTAATATGATTACTTAATTAGAAATCTTTAATAAGAACATTAATTAGGCGTTACTTTTCCCCTGAGAAAGATCAATTGTCAGCACAGCCCGCTGATGATTAACTGCTGCAGTTATAAAACAAGTTTTTAAATAATGTTTATGAGATTGATAAGGTTATCGCCTATCATTTGATGAGAGTTCATAAAAACTTTCAATTTCAGTGCGTTTGTTTTTATCTAGATTAATTATGTGTAAAGAGTGACACATGCACTTGACGGCTTTTTTTCAAACTCTATGGGAACAAGTAATGAACTGATATCAAATAGCTAGGCAGCTGTGTACGTTAAATGCTCTTTTTATTTGACCATAAATAAAAATTCTGCTTTCTTGTATGAATAAGGGAAGGCTTGGTAGTTACTTATATTCCAGAAGCAGATGAAACGGGAAGATTTATTTATAGCAAGTTTATACTTTTTCAACGAGAACTGTACAATTTTAGGCGATATTCTGAAAAATAAATCGGAATGGTTACATGGGCATTTAAATTAAGCAAAATTTTGCGATATATTAAACTAGCTGGTAACATAGGAACACTATATGTAGGCGACTGCATTCCATGGTTTACTAGAGTAGCTTTCTCTTCCTACATAGTCATTACTGTAACAAGAAGTTAATATCCTCTTCGAAAGCCGGACCTTGTTAAATAGACTTTGTTAGTTGTCCCAAGTTTATTTACTACTTTTTAGGTACTGCGCTTTCCAAGAAATACCTTATCTGAAGCATCATGTTGGGCACAATCATTCTGATTAACTTATACCAATTATGCAAGGGCATGGGAACGCCTCTAACTATTATCTGGAGAGGCGGTGACTCGCGAGCTCCTCGACTTCTTCTTGTCCGTAAATAATTTACTCCCAGATTCACACCCTTAAAATAAAATTTTTCCCGTTTTTAGGGCCATAATATAACAAATTAGTTTAGGATATTATTAGCTCTGGTTTTAATTTTACTCTGAATTTATCTGAAAAATATGTTACCTCAAAATTAATTCACTGTCTGTCTTTAATGCTTCTGAAAGTTTATATTAAAAGAAGTTAGTGTTATGATTGCATCAGACTTAATCGATGTATGGAGATTTTCTGGTCAGTTTTCTGGTCGAAAGAAGCCTGTTACAAATTTATTGAATCAAATGTGTAAAAAGTTATTACTAAAATAAAACAAAATTAGTCAAAAAAATTATATAAGACCCAGAAAATAATGTTCATAAATGAATCGATTTCAATGCACATTGACCGGCAAATCCTTGTCAATCGTCTTCACTTTTCCAGGAACAGGCAATAACAATTAATCTAAATAAAGCATCGGAACGATTTTAGGATTAAATTTTTTTACAAAAATTCAACGTGTGTTATAAATTGCTAGGCAATGAGCAGTTGTTGATCGTACACAATGACCAGTTGTTGCAATAATTCAAATGGCTTCGACATGAAGCATATAACCACCTACTGGAAAACGTACGTCGTCATTCTCGTGCCGCTCCTGCTGCTGCCGCTACCGCTCCTCTCACCCACGCCGGTGAGTTGAATTTCGTCAATCCAGAGTCGTGCCATGTGAATGAAATCGATTCAATTTATATTATATTATATTATATAGTTCAATTTATGCGTCTTAATATATAAAGTTGCGGTAAAGAAAATTTCCATAAGTAGTCCAAATGTGCCGGGTGACCATTTGTCTGGAAAAAGAAGAAGCTCTGTCAATGCAAAGTAATTGATGCCTGTTATGAAGATTTTGTCTATTGCGCAATAATAACGTATTCATAGGAACAATTATATATTTGTTAAGTAATCATATGCTCCAGTTATCGGAGATTATGGGCCAAATCGTATATACTCGAACACAAATGGTACGCTTCTTTCTCTTATGCTCTGTCACTGCATATTTTATGAATTGAAATTACACAGGAATATCTAAATTATATACCAATCTTAATTCATATTATCATTTGAAATTACACAGGAATATATGAATTATATACCAATCCTTATTCATATTATGAATTGAAATTACACAGGAATATATGAATTATATACCAATCTTAATTCATATTGTGAATTAAGATTGAATTATTGTGATCGTTATAAAAGTGATTGAATTATTAATTAATTGAACTAATGCAGGAGTCTCGATGCGGTTACGTGGTGTTGGTGATGGCGTTCTATTGGATGACGGAGGCCCTGCCGCTCGCCGTGACAGCCCTCATCCCCTTAGTGGGCTTCCCCTTGCTTGGGGTTATGTCGACAGGCCCGCTATGTCTGGTCTACATGAAGGTGGGTCATGTCGACAGGCCCGCTATGTCTGGTCTACATGAAGGTGAGTCATGTCGACAGGCCCGCTATGTCTGGTCTACATGAAGGTGGGTCATGTCGACAGGCCCGCTATGTCTGGTCTACATAAAGGTGGGTCATGTCGACAGGCCCTCTACATGAAGGTGTGTCATGTCGACAGGCCCGTTATGTCTGGTCTACATAAAGGTGGGTCATGTCGACAGGCCCTCTACATGAAGGTGTGTCATGTCGACAGGCCCGTTATGTCTGGTCTACATGAAAATGAGTCATGTCGATATACTGCAATAGCTCGTCTACATTAATGCGTTAGAAACGCTTAAAAATTGTTTAAAATAATAAAATAAAAACAGCAGGGAAAGAATGGGAAATTTCTGGATAAGCATGATTATTATCTTATTTCCGACAATAATCATGTAATAATATTCCAGATTATCATCTTATTCCCGAGTTGAGTTATATGGTGAGAAGCTTATTCGTGAAAAAATCCCAAAAGGTAACCGTCAAGCCATCAGTCCGAGAACATGTGGCTCTGAACATGGGCCTTAGCGGACTGAAGACACAAGAAGCATCACAAATTTTCCGTCGGCTATATTTTATATTCATGATCAATAATATTTATTTCGCAGGAAACCAATATGATGTTTCTGGGCGGGCTTACGATGGCCATAGCAGTGGAGCACAGTCAGCTCCACATTAGGATCGCCCTGCTGGTCCTGCTGTATGTTGGTCAGTGATTAATGAGATCAGATTAATTCTATTGACCAGTCCCTTTCTTCTGGTGATTATTATTATTGACTTCTAATTGAAATGTGAATTTTAATGTACAATTTTTGCTCCCTGCAAAAAAACAAATTATTGAAAACATAATAATGCGAACTCCTGGTAATTTTATTTTATTTTGCAGTGATAATTCTAGAGAAAATTAACTTTTGCGATCCAATAAATGTATCGTTCTATAATGAATTTACAAGAAGTTATCATTCTGACATGATAATAAAAATATAACTAAAAAAAGTGCTTTAGATTAGTTTTAATTAGTTGACGACTATGCAATGCGACGGATTGAGGTGCCTTATTATAACTCATTTATCCTCTATTGATAATAATTAAATTTAAACTTGAAGTACTGACCAAAGGTGAGAGCCCTCGTCGTCTGCTGGCGGGGTTCATGATGACGACGATGTTCTTGTCCATGTGGATCTCCAACACCGCGTCCACCGCCATGATGCTGCCCATCGTCGACGCTATCTTGAAGGAACTCTACTCCAAAGTAACATAAATCGTCTTTATTTGCCTAAATTTATAAAAAATTATGTCATTAGTCTGCTTAAGTCGCAAGTGCGTCAATAATAAAAGCAAAGAAAACGCCAAGTTTTAAATGTATAATGGAGATGATCGTTTCTGGCACCATCCATAACTTTTTTAACAAAGTGAATCTATATGTTGTTTCTTTGCTTTTAAATTAATTGTAATAATGTTAGTTGCGTACCATCCTGTGAATCCTTTCATTGCTTGATTGTGCCTCGTCATAAAAACTTACGAAATTCTTACGTTTGAATAATGAAAAAGGGGGAAAAATTAACTATACCATAAACGGCAAGAAGTTTTCCATTTCTGTGTTTACAAGAACCATTAAAAATACACTTTTTCACCGCTATGTCCCCGGCGTTGCTACGACAAAAAAAACGGTGGCGATTACGATAATTGTTTTTTTCTTTAATTTTGTCATTGCCAAGCGTCTCGCATTCGTTTGACATTTCTCCTGAACTGAAAATAGACTGCTGGCTTGTGTGAAAATGTCTCACTAAGAATGTATCATCTAAATTCTACTTTGTTTCAGAAAAGAGAAGACGAGATCCCTACATCGGAGGGAGACCTTGAGATCATCAAGAAAAGTTCTCGGTGAGTGGGGTGTTGTTTTGGGCCTTCATTGTTTTGTGGTGTTCAATTTAGCTGCCGCTTTGATAGCGAGATGGTGTTTTGGGACGTCATTGTTGTTCATTAAGATGCTTTTTGAATAACATATGTTGGTGTCTAAGTCCAGAATCCAGAAATGCAGGAGGTCTAAAATAATTTTCGGCTGCAAAGTAACGCTTAAATATTTGAAGAAAAATGACACGCTACATGCTTGAATCTCCTTCCTTATTCTGCCGCTGATTTTAAGGCCTTTCCAATTTTCTCCATTCTTCGGTAGTCAATAATTAATCAATTATGTCATCAACACTCAAATGCTAGGAGAATCTTACCCTGGAATATTATACTTCAGGGTTTTTTATTATACTACAGTATATCCTTTTGATTAATTTGTTTCTTATACAAATCAACCAGTGCTTGAAAAATTCGTACAACTTAATTATTCTCTGAGCTTAAAATTTATTGTCTCATTTTAATTTCGAATTTCATCTATGCGTAAGTTGCGTCTATATTCCATAAATAGGTAACCTATGCATAGATGAAAATTTCGTATCTATGCCTTAAAAAATTGACCATCCAATCTCAATTTTATACCTTCGTGCCCCAGGTCATCCAGCTTATCTTCAACACAGCGACGCTCGTCGGTTTTAGCCCAGACCAACTCGGTTGACGGAACAAAACAAGACAAAGAAGATAACGATGAAGAAGAAGAGCTTACGAAGATGGGTGCTCAGATGAGGAAAACTTTGCTCCTGGCGGTGGCTTATTCCGCAAACATCGGTGGTACGGGCGTCGTGACAGGCACCACACCTAATCTTATACTCATGGCCAACTTGGAAGAGTGAGTCTCATAGTCATGCGAGATACATAGGTATAGGTCAGTGATAGAATTATCTTAGTTTGAAAATTTGCCTTTGAATTATTATTCAATTGAGTGATAGATTAAGAATTATGGATCAGTCTTGACATGTTCCTATTGATTACTTTTCAGGTCACTGGTAGAGTTGGCTAAGGCATCGATAGTACCTGCAATTTATCAGCATGCGTTGGTGTCAAGAGAAATCAAAAGAATGCCTTGCATAAATAATGATGAATGCAAGCTATATACATAAAATAATACGAACATGCGAGGAGGAACTTTCAACCGAAACATAAATAGATTTATTGTACCATGCTTCAAAATTTCGGGTCGGTGCTGCCACTACGTTATTAATATCTGATTTACAGAGACTAAAAACTTGAGGATTGCAATCATGAGAATAGGAAATAACTTTAATTTCAATTTCAGATTCGATGAAACCGGTCTGACATTCGCTTCATGGATGGGCTACAACATTCCCGGCATGATCATCTGCGTGGCCATTGCCTGGATTTGGCTACAGATCTTGTTCATGGGGTGCAGGTAGAGTAATTATTTTATTGATCGTAATATTTATAATATATCTTTTTAATGTGTTCGCTTAAGTTAGAGGTTCTTATTTAGTCGTACGGTTAATTCGTTCCTAACTGTAAACGAAAGTGCAGATCAAGACGATCTGTAAGGTTAGACAGTGTTCAATCAAAGAATTTCAAATTATGAAGTATGCAGCCATACTCTGACGGTATTCTTCAAATGGAAGACGTCTCTAAGTGTCGATCATTCTGCTATCTCCACTTTATTTCAGATCGAGTATATTTATCTCTCACTATAATCTATCCCATCAATCGTTGTAATCCTATTTTTTTTTCAACTTACTATTTAAATAATAATGAGGCATATAAAAACATTTCAGTGTTGTAGATCGTTCTTCTTCTTTGAACAGACGTGGCGCAATTGAAGAAGCAACTGTAAAAATCAGATACCCTTTGTTATTGGAATTAAATAAACGGGGTATCATGTCGTTACATGTCTCGTTATTAAAAGATACCCGTTGTTATTGGAATTCCGATTATATAGAGTAGGTGACATACGAAACCTCTTTAGTATATTTATGTTCGTCCTCATTTCGAACAGAAAGGGAGCAATACAAGAAGCAACTCCAGAACAACGCTCTGCCGTGCGCCAGATACTGAAGAAGAAATACGCTGCTCTTGGCGACATTACCTTCCACGAGAGCGTCGTGCTCACGCTCTTTGTGATACTCATCTTCATGTGGCTTTTTAGGTCGCCGGAGTTTGTTCCTGGCTGGGCCCACTGGTTTGTGTTGGCATTTGGAGAAATGTGAGTCGAAATTTCATATTCTCTTATTGTTGGTAGCAATATAATTCAAATTATTTGATGTTTCATCCTAACATAGATACTGATAAAATTTAAAACATTACCGGTGCCTTGGTAACGCTATTTTAGAACATTTGAAATAAAATGGCGCGAAAATTAGCCCCTTGCTTTTCAAATTGTCAATAATTTGTTTATTCATACATTGATCATTATTTATTGCTAATTAAGGTCGACAACAATATTTCCAAGCGCTTCAATTAACAGCTTTTTGAGCTTCAACACTCTCCCGTTTTTCAGTCCCACAGCTCAACATTTATTAGTTCAGAAGCATAATTGTTAAAAAAGTTGCTTAGATCCACTTAACCCAATGTGAATTCACTACCATGCAAACGCAAATATCGAAATAAAATTTAGATCATTACAGATCACGGACCAAATCTATCGATCACTTATAAAATAATATGATATTTTGTGATCAGTTCGATCACTTATAATATGATATTTTTACAGAGAAGTCGAGGATGCCACTGCCGTGATGTTTATTGTCTTGCTCGTCTTCATAATTCCGAAGAAGCTCGACTTTTGGTGCTTCAGGGACCCAAAAGGTCAGATTACCCCAAAGCATGATAAAGGAATACTCTAATAGTAGTAATAAGCTAATAATAATAGTTTTCTATTATCATACGCTTGATGACATAATGCATCGTGTTCGAGTAAAATTACAATTCAAAATTCTAGCGTTGCTCAATTATTAAAGTCTCACAATTAATCGGCAGCGATTTAATTTTCTTATAGTATAACACTCTGCCATCAATGCTTCAAATATAGATGATTGGCTTTTCTGCAATAACTTTAGTTTTTTAATAAGTAGTTGAATGTCATTAGCTCTCTCTCTTCATATTCAATAATTTTGTTCAAATTTGGACACTTCACCCTGAGCAACATTAATTCTAATTCGTTGAATTCGATTGTTGTATTCAACGTTAGACAATTCAATTGTTAGGCACTGAACGCTGAGTAACATCACTTCTAATTCAATTTGACTTGTTTTGTTTAAATTTAGATTCTTCCCACTCAATAACATCAATTCTATTATATAAAACGTCGTCACTTCTAATTCAAAAATATAATTATTTTGTTTCATCAAATTCCATTATTTGTTTCATAAAATTAATTGTTTTGTTTGATAAAATTTAAATATTTCGTTGCAATTCAGACACATCGCCGGTGGTGTCGTACGAAGGCTGCCTCACATGGGAGGTCGTACAGCAGAAGCTACCGTGGGGCGTGGTGCTGCTGCTGGGGGGAGGCTTTGCCATCGCTGAGGCGGCCGACGCCTCTGGTCTGTCCCTATGGCTGGGAGATCAGCTGCAGGCCTTGGAGGTGCTGCCCGAGGCTCTCATCGTCTTCTTGGTCTGCCTCATGACCGCCATGGTCACTGAAGTCGCGTCCAACACCGCCACTGCATCCATCCTCATGCCAGTACTCAAAGAAATGGTAAGACTTGAGCGAAAATCTGCATAAAATTCATACTAATAACAGAGTAATATTTCTAGTCACTGCACAGTATGATATTATTCGCGTTTTGTCACTATTGTGACTTGCATCTTACCAAGATTAATACATAAGAAACCATTAGATATATCAATCATTTTAATCTTCGTGATAATCGCTTCGCATTTGCAATTTCTGCAGCAAGACACGGGGCGACCGAACTAAAGCCACAATTTTACTGTGTCAATGAAATGCATTACTAATTCGTTAATAAATGCAATCGATTACAAGGGTTTGCGTTTATTATGGCCATGACACAAATGTTTACTTGGAGTATATCTATCGAATTTTTTATTACATTTTACATATGAAATTACAAAATTTTTTATTTAATTCTGAAAATATCTATTGTTTTTAACAGAGTTTGGGCATCGGCATCAATCCCCTGTACCTGATGCTCCCGGCCACGATTTGCTGCTCGTACGCCTTCATGCTACCTGTAGCCACACCGCCCAACGCCATCATATTCACCGCCGCCAAGATGAAAACTGTTGAAATGGTGAGCAGACTAGCGTGTTGAAATGGTGAGCAAACTAACGTGTTGAAATGGTGAGCAGACTAGCGTGTTGAAATGGTGAGCAGACTAACGTGTTGAAATGGTGAGCAGACTAACGTGTTGAAATGGTGAGCAGACTAACGTGTTGAAATGGTGAGCAGACTAACGTGTCGAAATGGTGACCGTTATGGAAATGGTGAGAAAACATGAGTGTTGAAATGTTGAGTCGACAAGCGTCTGAAAGTCTAAACTATTTCCTGCCAAGGCGTGGAATAATAATAAGCTGGAATATGAGGAGACTGACTTTGTTAATACAACGAAGAAAATATGTTTGAAGCATTGATGAATAGATGTGTTAAGATCAGCAGGTCTTGAAAATTGTTTATCTATTTATAGCCTCCTAATGTCTTTTTTTTTTTTTGCAGAATCTGTGCATGGATTATTCGATAAATGTTTTTGTCAGGCTCTAAGCCTGACAAAAACAAAAACATTTAGATAAATGTTTTTGTCAGGCTCTAAGCTTCACCATGGATTACTTTTGCGAATAGAGCAATATACCGAAGACATATTCACATTTATAAACCCGTAACTAATGAAAAGTAAATTCTATCACTTACTAGTTGCTTTACTGGTATAGCAAAACTAATAAAACAATTTAAAAATTTTTTATTTTTACGCTACTTGACGAAATACTTAGAAATTCTAATTTTATTTTCATTTGTTATTGAACGAATATGCGTTGTATAATTCAATATTTACTGGAGTGGATGAATGTAATTTTTTTATCCTTCAATTTATCTCATACATTCTTATTTCAGATGAAGGCGGGGATCATGATGAACGTGATCTGCGTGGTAGTGCAGACGCTCATGATCAACACGTTGGGACAAGCCATGTTTGGCGTCAGAGATTTTCCAGACTGGGCCAATGAGACGGTAACGTCATCGGCCGCCTTGCATGCGCTATAGAACAGGACTGTGATCTTGACAGTAATAGAACACTGTGATCTTGGGAGTAATAGAGCACTTGAATATTCCTCGAATAATTTTTAAATTTTCTAAAAAAATTGAAATATTTCAGGAAGAACATTCAAATGGTCTGAAAGAACTTTCAAATTTATATGATATAATATTGAAGTAATTCGGGATCAACATTGTACGTTTCTCAAAAATCATTCAAACGCTTCTGGGAGAAAATCCAAATTTTGGTCGGAAAAAACTTTCGAATGTAACTGGAAGAACATTAGAATTTAATTCATGTCTTCGACTCCTGCTCTTGTATTCGTACTTAAATGACATTTTGTTTATTCGTACTTGACGTGCGAGTTATAATAATTTGGCTTTGAATCGGTCAATTGATTAGAAGGCTCCTAATTTCATTTCAGTGACATTTTAATTAATCACTGATTCGGTGGCAATGCTTATGGTTACATCGCATATTATATATTGTTAATAATGCAGATTATATAAATATTATTGTTCGGAGTAATTGTTATGAATACCAATAAAAAATTTGACTGCCATATTTTTTCGCTGTTAATAACAAATATATTGTTTGTTGAAATTTTAGACGTTAACTTGCGTACAAACTGAAGAAGTTAATTGCGTTGGTCTGTCACTGAATTAACGACAACAACGCGATAAATGCCAAAGCGGTGTACTCTAAATACCAACCTCGTCGACTATATTCCAAGTACCAACGAAAATTCAACTAAATATTTCGATAAAATATTGATAAAGTAACAACTAACAACGATGCTGAGAAATTGAACATCAAATTTAATGAGTTTAATATCGCGAACTCAACTGAGTTTATTATTGCAAACTCGTTTCAGTATATCGAGAATAGTTTGATTAGCGATTATTCAAGCACTAGAGTTCTAGGTATGGCCGATTACTGATATGCTGTCTCAGGAGGTTGGTTTCAGAATAGAATAGAATTGTTGGCACTGAAGAAATAGGCCTATGGCCCGTTGCCGATTCATATACTTTCTTCTCGTGACTTGATTCACAAGGGATCCGGCCTTTGGAACCCGATCTTTCCATAGCTGACGATTGATTGAGATAGCTGCTGAACTTATTGCCTGGTCCGTAATTTGCTAGGCATTTTAAGACTGAACATATGCTCCTGCATAGCTTCGTCTAGTCTGTTTTTGAAGATGTTCATACTCGGAGCGTCAACGATGCTATCAGCAAGGCTGTTCCACATGTCAGTGACTCGAAGCGAGAAGAAATGTTGTCGCATGGATGTGTTACAACGCAGTTTTTTTAGTTTATAGCCGTGGCCCCTGGATTTGTAAACAGCAAATCTCTGCATTCCGAAATTTAAGGATTTAAAAGCTTAAAATTTCTTTCCCAGTGAAAAATTTCGGTTCATTTCGTATAGGAATATTTCTCTCAAGATGTATGGATGCTACAACCATAAAAAAATACTGGATAAGTGGACTTGGTCGTGCATGGGGCTGTGAGAGTGAATTTAGCTACTAAGTACACTTGCATGTAAAAATTCTGAGGAGATTCATTCGTTCTGTTATTTTATCATTCTAGTAAAGTTAGTAAAATTATCGAGAGCGTTTTTATAATTCATCGCTTTATTTTAATGATGGAAAAGTTGTTTTTCATGCATAAATTAATCTTTTTTCGTGCTACATGAGCATCAAATTAAGGGATTTATCGATTTATAAATTCTCCAGCGATTTTTTTACATTTTTATATTCTTCAATTTTATAACGGGCTAATTTAGTCATCAACTCCCATTCGAAATTCATATTTCTACACCTGTTGATTTGAACTTTTAAAGGCACAAAATAAATTACCATAAAAACTCAATCTAAACAACCCAAGATTATAACACAGACATTCTTATTATCAACGATAATAATCAAAAATACCAAATCGGTTGTTTTTTAGCATAAGTTACATCTTGACGATGCAGTTTTAACAGTCTGATATACTCCCTTAACAAAAATCCATTAGGAGTTGTCTCCAACGTACCATGGAAATAGGAAGTTTTGACTCTCATGAAGGAGTCAGCAACGTTGCGTGTACAACGTCCAGGACTACGACAAAAGAGAAATGTTAGACACAAATATGTATCTCACAAATAGAACCCCATTTAGTAAACCAATATATTTTTTAACAGTTTTAACTGTTTCAGCTCTAGAAACCCAGCTCTAGACGTCTCTAACAGACTTTCAGCTCTAGACGTCTCTAACAAATTTACGGCCGGTCTCGCGGCCAATCTCGATATTCAATTATCAAGGAATATCTCCCAAACTAATGAACGCAGTTCCATGAAACTTGAAACACGTATTCAACAGGACCTAACGGTGATTTTTAATGCGGGATTTTTTTTCAAATTTCACCTTCATTCGAGAGTTATATGATGATACGGACCGAAATTCGCAGTGATCAAAGAATTTCTTCCAAACTGCTGAACAGATTCAAACGAAATTTCGAATGCACCTTCGTTCGCATCGAGTTAGACGGATATACGGAGAAACGATCGGCATTTCGACTAGCCGGCTTAACCAAGAATTACCGTACGGACAGCCGTATATATAACTCGCAAACGATGGCAAAATCGAAAAAATTGTCACAAGCTAAACATCACCGTTGCTGATGATAGGTATTTATATACTAAGTTTCTTTCGAATCTGTTCAGCAGTTAATAAGGAATTTCTTGACCACTGCGAATTTAAGCACGTATTGGTGTTTAAATCATGAATGAAGGTGAAATGAAAAAAAACTTCGCGAACGAAGGCAAAATCGGAAAAAAATTCCCGAGCTAAACATAACCGTTTAATAATTAGGAATGTGTAATCAAAATTTCGTTTAAATCTGTTCAGTAGTTAGGAAGAAATTCGTTGATCACTGCGACTTCTGGGGCCATTACTTTCAAAACTCGCTAAGTGAACGTAAGTAGTTTTACGCTCTATTTTCTTGTCTATGATTAGTGGATTTTGCTTGAAATGCCGTCAATGATTGGCTGATGAACTTGAGATCACTTAACTTACTTTGAAACTATTGGCCCAGAGGGCCTATACTTTCAAAATAAATTCAGCATTCGTGAAAATCCTCATGGGTGATGGACTGAAATAGAATTTATTGCACATGATGAAGGATTTTCCTTAAAAATAACTCTATCAATTTCGACACTCAACTAACCTAATTATCCGAAAAAAACTAACATTTTTTTCGAATTCTGCATTCGAACTTTATGCAAAAAAATATAATTATATACATGGCAACTCGTTGTTCCACTCACCTATTAGTCAAAATTCGCTCTTTATTTCGGCATAGAAAAGCTGTTTTTTGACGTGCTAAAGGAAAAGAGATTAAAACAAACAGTTTCTTCATGTGTAATTATCCATTTAAACAAACAAGCATCACTTTATTCCCGTTAAACAAAAATACAAAATTCCAGTGCCATAAGGTCTTTACTCCTTCTTTGTCTTAGATTTACCGTCGCGGTCTTTGCCTCCAAAACACAAAGAAGTCAACTTGATTATCACTACATAGATAAAGACAAGGATGATATGGATAACGACGAGCAGGTCGAGGTAGAGCAGCTCGACCCATGTGAGGTCGCGTTCAGGGGAACGCAGGTGCAGCGCCCCCTGATGTCGGATGACGTACTCCGTCCAGTACACCGCCGTGTCCACGGCCCTCATCGGTCTGTCCTTCATCGACGCTGAGATGGCCTGCACGTTCTCCTCGTACCTGAACAAAACAACGAAGCAATCGTACATGCAACACCGTAAGTGACAGTCGTGTATTGAACTTCATCTGTAGTCTTATTCTCCGCATAATGGCAAGAATAAATTACAACTGATTGCAAAGCTATGAATTGTTAAATACGAAACTGAGAGTAAAAATTGCAGGCAAAAATTATTATGGAACGTTTAAGTTTAATTAAAGCACAGAATATTGTTTTTATTTAATTGATAGTAAAAATCTTGTCATAGAATTAGTTGTATTTGGCTTCAATATTTTTTAAAGTGTTTTTGGCTGTTTTCTCAAGCCTCAGTTGTTCAGGTAATGTGAAATTTTAATTGTTATTTCTATACAAGATGACTAAACGCAAAACTCAATAAAATTGAAAAAAGGTATATTGATAAACTTTAAAGAGTTAAACGTAGGAGCAAGAGCTGCTTGAATCACAAAAAAATTCATGACCAAACATAAAAAAGACAATATTTCTCTCACGACCCAGAACATTCGTCATAATTAAGCACGGGTTTTTCTTCAGCTGTTTTATTTCCACAATTTCGTCAGCGAACCTAGGATTGTTGATAAGATCCTCGATGGCGCTGATAAGCAGCTCTTCAGTGAGGTCAGGCCACAGGATTTTGCGTCCAACTCCGGCGAGCTCGTGCGACTCGGCGTTCTTTGGCTGGTCCGCAAACACCGGCAGCCCGAGAATTGGCGTGCCGAAGTACAGCGCCTCCAACGACCCCAGCAACCCGCAGTGGGAGATGAACACTTTCACATTCGGGTGAGCTGTGGATAAATAACATCCTGAATTTACCACAAGTAAACATGAATCCGACAGAGTTTCCAGTTTTACATCTAAACATTTATGAATAATTATGACTAATCATAGTCATAATATGATGATATTATGATTTTTTTTAATATTATGACTTCAAAGTATGGAATTTTATGAGATGTTAATTAATTGATTTAAACATTATTTGACTTCATCTAACTACAGCACAAGTCAGTTAATTGAACCATAATTTTTCAAACTATGTCCTTAGAAGCCTTACCTAATATATCCTGCTGTGGCATCCATTTCTGTACCAATAAATTATTTAATTTTTCCTGAGGCTCTTCTTCGAACTTCCAGAGGACCTTGTAGGGGATCTTAGCGAAGGCCCTGAAGAAAATATCCTTGTGCTCCTGGCGCATGGCGCTGCTGCGCGTCACGGAACCCAGACTCATGTACACCACAGGCGTCGTGCCAGACAAGAAATCCAATAGGTTCTGAAAAAAACTTGATACGTATAAAACCTACTTCAAATTTATAGCTTTTTCAGACGGAATCAGCTCTTTAATAACTGAATCTAGTTTGTTAATGCTTTTTAATCTTCAATGTGTCATTCCTTGAAGTTCATTTGTAACCGCGACTTGTTTTGTTAATGTCTCAACCTTGAACATGTTTCAATTTATTTACAAATTATCAACTATGTAAAATTATCTGCGGCAGCCAAGAACCGGGATAATCTGCGCTTACATTAAAAATTACCTAAAAGAGCGAATACATTTATTCGCTCTGTCTTCGATACTGCACATTGTACAAGCAAGTAACGGAAAAATTAAGGGAAAAATTTATTATTTGCCCGATACATTTAAGGTTTTTCTACAAGTTATTAATGAATATTTTATATTTTAAGTATATCTGTAAGTAAAATAACTGTTCGTCACCTTCGGCAAGGCTTTGGTGGGCTCAATGTGCAGGCCGCCGACTTCGACTTGGTTTGGCAGTAGCGGTACCGTCAGGCCGGTGCTAAAGTGCGAGTTCATTAACGTCAGGCTCAAGTTGCGTTCCAGTTCGGAAAAAGACGGTAATTCTGGAAAACGTTTTTCGATCTGTTGAATCAAGGTTTACTGTTGAGAGGTTAACCTGAAAATGATTAGTAAGAAATGATGATGTTGAGTAGCCTACTAATTCCATTACGAAAATGCCTGCAGTAGAGTTCATAACTCTTTTCAATTTGCATTTACATATTCCAATGTGGGAATGGAAATTAGAATCAAAAGACTTCCATTCAAAAACATCACACGAAACGCGTCTCTTAACAGTAAATTGAAGCATTGGATACTCTTGATAATTTTATTGCTTGATCATGTCTAAATTTCATCTTTTTAAAAGTATAATGCACGAAACGCTCTGTTTATACGCGGTGAGTTCCGAAGAAATGTTCACCATGCAGGAAGATAGCATAGTGATCCAATATTATCTTTATTTTTTGTTACATTACGATATTATGACAATAAAATATATGATTATCAATGGCGATATATGAAAATTTAAATTTAATATTACCACATAAATTACGAATACGCTAATTGAATGTATGACGTCAAGCGGGCTTGTGAATTGGAATCAATGTAAGCGAGAACGACACATTTAAGCTGCTGGTCTGATGGAAGTTTGTGGAACGTTTTGGAAAATATCACCAAATTTTATTATAACTAATATTAATAATAGACTAATAATACGTTTCTCACTTCTGCTTGAATTGGAGCCTGCAGTGATTTTCCAAATGTGAAGGCAAACACAATTGTCATTATCAGATTTTTCCAGCGCCCCAACGTGGTGAGAGGCTTGTAGACTTCCAGTCCGTTAGGAACGTATGCAGGATTGAGTGTGTTGCCCATGACCGAGCTCGTCACAGGATCTAATCCACTGGTACTGATTGTGATGAACGTGTGGTTGTGAGTGAACGGGAGCATCACCTGCAGAAAATGATAAACTCGAAATATAACAACATATATAACATATGTTGAAGATTTTATTTTCTAATTTAATCCCTCTGTGTAGATTTCAATTTTTAAAAATGACTGCAAATCTCGTGATTTCTGCATAACTAGAGGAAATTTGGATTATACGCAAAAAAGCGAAATCAGAAATACGTTACTCATATATTCTTAAATATTTTTGACCACGTCCTTTCGATGAAAATTGGAAGACTATCTCTTGCCTACAACATTCCCATGAGCCTAAAGAGCATAATTAGAAATTAATAAAAGTTAACTTGGCGCAGGTAATTCGTGCACGTATGCAATATACGGGAATTAATTACATTATCATCATTATTTAACTAATAAATCTGACATCATCGCTAAAATCCCTATACTAAGTCCTCAACTCGCCTCGTTGAAGAGTGAACTGAGGATTACGAGATCGAATTCTTTCCTCCGCTGATACAAATCTCTGATGACGGGAACATCGTAAATTTCTCTCGCTATCAAAGGTAGACGTTCGTTGAACAGCTTGAACATTTCCTCCATGTTGTCCATCATTTCAAAAGTGTTGATTGTGTCCATCTTGAAATGTGGAAGTGGGTTTTCAAAATGAGTCAATCCGGGCCTTTCTTCAGTCAGAGGACTGTTGCTCACCATGGTCACCTGATGGAAGAAGTTCTAGAGTTCAGTATGTATTTGCGAATTAAATCTTAATTTCAAATCAATCAATGCTCAAGAACTTCAGTTCGAGTTGAAAAATAATAATTATATTCTGATGAGGATTAGATGATCTGAATAAAACTCACCTAGAAAATTCCTCACCACTATTTCAGTCGTATTTAACTAATCTAACGCGCATCAATGCAAATTAAGTTACTTGTCAAGAATATTATTTTAATAAAAAACCCATTCCTAAATTCATATATAATCTTGGTAATTTTTTATCCGTATTCTCTCTTCCGCAATACGTTGATTTTATTTCAATTTGAATTTGACTTCATTTAAGTATGATTTTCATTCTTCCATTCCCCAAATTGAACAGTTATGAGCACGAATTATTTATATTTATAATCCCGGTAAATAAATTAAGTAATTAATTTTATGTTATATATTATATAAATTAAATATATAAATTATATTATATAAATTTATATTTTATACTATATAAATTAATTAATTTTATAAATATATATAAATATTTATAATCCCGGTAAATAAATTAACATTTATAATCCAGGTACCAATCGATTTATTCTCCTTCTCTCTCGTCAAGTTGATTTCATTCTTAGTCACGTGCATTATTTTCATACGTCCATTCCCCAACTGAAGAACTCAGATCTCATCTGAGCTCACCTGATGGCCGCGCTCAGTGAGCGCCGTAGCGAGGGGCATGAAGACGTTGCGGTGGCTCCTGGAGGACACAGGCAGCAGCATGAGTATCTTGTAGGGGCGCTCGGGAGGTGGCAGCGCCGCCACGGCGGGTGGCAGTGCCATGGCCACAAGCCCTGCCACCACCAGCAGCTGGACACAAGCCATCCTGGGAGACAGCATTGATATTTTTTATTTTATTTTACTTCGATTGTAATATGAAGCACAAACGCTATGGCTTGGTTTTGATTTTGTTTATGAGTCATTTCATAGATCACATAACAGATTCTAATTATGACCGTTGATGCTTGTTTGTAATTGAGTTAGACAGCTACATTATACGTATATAACCTTAATCAGAACTTCAGGAGCAATGGTTCCTGGCAACAGAGACGTCGTAAAGCTCACAATTATTATAAAGAGAGCAGGAAAATAAATCGAGTCCTGACAATAGAGATGTCGTAAGCACACAACCTTAACAAGGATACGTTCAAAAGTACGTGGTTCCCAGCTAAGAAGGCGCTATCAGATGGAGCCTCTTAGAGCCAATCTTGAACTGAAAATCACATCTGATGCCTCACCGAATCATACGTAGATGATTACACGGCTTTAATGTACGAATATACATCAATAGTTTATCCAGTTGTTTATAACGCTATTGCAACGAATTGATCAAATTAAGTAAGTGAAAAGGTGTCCCATAAATCATTACTAGTACGGCAGCTGTTACGTTGCGACTAGTTTTTATTCACAGGAAATTCGGTTTATAGTTTCGTTTATCTGGGATCATATCATTGTCATGAGCATGGTTTCAGATAAGATGAATGATAAAGGCCTTCAATAGACCCTAATCTACAACTAAGTAACGCGTACAAGCTTTTCTTGCAACACTGCAACAGTATTGACCACACTAACTCCCATTGACCTCCCAATAAGTTGCACCATTTTAAAGTCTTAATGGAATTTCTTTAAATGATTTCTTTCTTAGAACTTTGTGCAGTAATACTACACGTGCACGCAATTAAATTATGTAATCACAATTACGTTTTTTTAATTATATACATTTATCATGGCTTATTGGAATCCTCAACTTAAATTGTTTTACATCCTCAATTTTCGAGACTTTGGCAAGCATAATTTATGAAAGAGTATAATTAAGCACTACTTCACCTGATGAGAAGCGGCGGTTGTCAGTTAGCAAGTTGAGGCCTGAAGTTCGTAGCTGGGAGTTGCAGCAGCAGGCCAGCAACCACACACAACACAGAAGCCGCAGCAGATAATGTCAACATCGCCGTGCTACTCAAAATCAGCCGCAACTCAACATCAATCTATGCTCGTACTGGTGGAAAACTATGAATTCATCTTAATGATCTAACCAATATAAAATTTCGTCCAGACGAAAGCTGACGAAATTTTTCTTCATTATTGCATGGCGAGATAGAAAGGCTAGACGTTCAATCGAGCCGTGCCTTGATGTAATTTGTTTTATTTACGCTAACCCTTCAATGTGATTAAAATAATTGATAAGTATTAGCTGAATCAATGAAACCTATACCTTAATTGTCCAGTAAAAACCATGATTAGTTTAAATAACCACCCATGATGGAGGGTGTTCATTACTTAAGTAACCTAAGTGCAGAGCTGGGCAGCGCTACTTTGAAATATAGCGGCCGCTACCGCTACATGTTCTAAATGTAGCGGGCGCTACCGCTACAATTGCTTAAATGTAGCGCCGCTACCGTTACTGAAAATGTAGCGGCCGCTACATGTAGCGCGCTACTGCCCACCTCTGCCTAAGTGGGTGTAACAGCTTACAAAATCGTAGAATTAAAACAGTTTTCCGAGCTGCTCATTGAGCGCTGTCCTTCAAATCGCGGAGTAGCGAGATGGACTGAGCCTGGTTTTGGGATCGTAATTAAAAACAATAATAATAGCGGTTTCAGCGTTTAGTAGGCCGTAGGCCTGTCGCCGATTCTTGACATCGCAGAACGTTCACAGTATTTTGCGGTCTCGAACTCGCAACTCACGTCTACAATTCTGCTGTGCTTAACCGCCCGGCCTCCTTGCTGATTCTGATCAGTAACTGGCGCACAGAGCTGGGACCGAACCCGCGCCTCTCTGCTCCAATCCTGGTACTCTGAACTGTAACCACTGGGCCACCCTGCCCAGGGTGGCCCACTTTTATGATCAGAGGGAAGATTAATGAATTCCTGGGATATAGATAGTGCTGAACGAGACAATTCTATTTTCCTGAATTAATAAATTTGTGATTAAATACGAATTTATGTGTGCAATTAACTTCGGACATAACTTAGGATTTCTCATAAATGACTAAAAAAATGCATTCGTTGAGCATAAGCCATTGTATTAACAATAATAGTAATATAGTGGATTAGTGATCGTCATTTGATTAGGAAAGTTGATCTGTCGCTGATTCTTGACCTACCGGCCATCTGGCCGATTTTGATCAGAATTTACACAACTAGTTGCGGGTTGCGAACTATCAACTTCCTGCTCCAAACCTGATCTTTGCCAGTCGGTACACCCGAAGATTTTATGGCATGTGTGACACGACCTCCAGATTATTTCATTGCACCACGTTACATGTCGAACAAAACTGAAAGCCATATTTCAAATCCGTCACAGTTTTCCATTTAGTCCCATTCTTGAACCTATAGCGGCGCAAACCTTTGAACCAATAGCCCTTTGCACCCTTCGCTGATGCGGACTATTGCAGAACATTCACAGCTTGTTACGGGTCTCGAACACGTAACTCCCTGCTTAAATTTTGCGTAGCTTAATCGCTCGGCTTCCTCGCCGATTTGACCAGAACTGTCACAGGAAGCTGGAATCGAACTCATAGCTGTTGCTCCAATCCTGGTACTCTTAACTGTTACCGGTGGGCCACCTTATATCTCAAAACACAAACGCTCTGTATAGTGGCAAAACTTTGTCAGAAATTAGAGTATCGGAAGCAACATTCAACGACTCATCAAAGTACTGTTAATTGATGCGTTGAAAATATGTCGGTAAGATTGCTACCGTAATTTTCGAGAATATACCAGCCACACAGTTCTCCGCAAGATAAACACCTTGCCGAGCCAGTCTATAATATAGGGCCGTTTGTTAATTTAGAGCGCGAGAACTTTGAGTTGGTGTGGAGTTCGGGACACCGAGTAGCAGCCAAAGTAAAGATGGTTCAATGTTAATTCAATTTCATCCATTCACATGTGAAAGTCGATATTAACCACGATAATTTAGATTAAAATTTAGATTAGACAGTGTGCTTAGAATAATAAATTGCCCTATTACAAATTTAGCAGTTCCAGCAAGACAACACAAGGTGACGCAAACACAAAAATAGTTGGTTAGTCTGTTAAAAACAGATTAAAAATTAATGTATATTTATCTGTGGATCACAACATAGATGCTTGAATTTGAATTCAATTTTACGACACCATGACAATTAAAATATTCATAATAATGAGGCGAATCGCAATGACATGATTCACGCTGAAGCTTCAACATATTTCCTATAAATGGATCTCGGTGTAGTTTGCGAGTTTCATCACCCGATGATATTCCTTCTTTTCAGATATCTTGATTTGAAACAGCAGCGTCACGGCTTCTCGACAACCGTCGTAATGTAGTCAGATATATGGTTAGGTCCAAGCAAAAAATGCGTTTACATCAACTTACTTCCTACAGTGGTCACTGTTTCACACTTTTCTTCTTCGGGCTGCGTTGACATCGATTGATCAATATTAAGCAAGTCGAGCGTAGTGTTCGACTCTGGACACAAAGATAAAGATTTGCAATACACGCGGGAATACGAGCGCGCATCGCTAGAGTTTGATGAGTGGCAGGCGATGAGTGACAGGTGATGAGTGACAGGTGTTGCGTGGCAGGTAACAATTGGCAGGTGGTGAGTGGCAGGCGGTGAGTGGCTTGTAACAAGTGGCAGGTGACGAGTGACGATTAGCAGGTGATTAGTGGCAGGTGGTGTGTGTCGGGTGACGAGTAGCAGGTGATGAGTGGCAGGTGACGAGTAGCAGGTGATGATTGGCAGGTGATGAGTGGCAGGTGATGAGTGGCAGGTGATGAGTGGCAGGTGATGAGTGGCAAGTGATGAGTGGCAGGTGATGAGTGGCAGGTGATGAGTAGCAGGTGGCGAGTGTTCCATAACCTGGTCCCCGCACCAGCAGCCGAGCCTGCGACGCCGCTTCATCGCGGGGCGCTAAAATCTTTCATTAAGACAAGTACGGTACACTCAAGCCTAGTGTCGTGATACGAGATCATCCATAATTAGCGGAACAGCAAGCCCTGTAAAAAAAAGCTTTACTGCACTCATGGATTGAGCATCAAACTGAACTTAACCTAAAGCGAAAAACGGGTTGGTCCGAGATTCTACATGCACTAGTCGTATGAAGAACTGTGATAAGATCTACATCCCTCAGCACAAAGTGACCTACCCGCAGAAAAAATTCATCCCTCAGCCACCAACATCCTCAACATCAAAAACAGTTGACAGCTCTAAATTGGACTTTCAAGGAAATTCAGAAAATAAACAAGAAGATATAGTACAAGATGATGAAATTAGACACAGTATAGCCGAGAAAACGAGACATCAATTCCTGTCATGTGCGAGTCAGAGAAAAAATTGACCTGGACGAGCGTACTACACAAATATTCACTTGACATTACCGTCACAAATTAAATAATTATGCTCGCGGTAGCTTAGCTTAACAAGTATCCAGCATCAAACTGTTCTACAATTTGATTTACAATTTAATTTATTCTATAGTAAAAAATCTCCACATCAACCGTCACAGGAAGTTATCTCATAAAGCAGAAGCGAATTTTACGAGCTACACTCATAAATGAAAACGATACGGCGTTGCATCCTATCTTAAACGTTCATACGCTATGGATAGAAATTAACTTAACAAGTAAAGATTCAAAATCACAATTAAAGCCAATTGAGAAATCTTTCCCTACCTCAATACTTGTTGTGTAAATTATCATTAGATGAGAGGAACTTCCAACTTCGTAAGTAATAAAAACACCACGATGATAATTCTAGAATTTCTGTTAAAAATAGACGTAGATTTCTTCACACGTGCCACTTAAAGTTGAGTTCAAGCTCCAGATCCAAAAACGACTTCAGTATTCACTACTTGCAGATAGTGAGGCTAAATCTTAGAAGTTCCTCAAGTTTAGAGAGGCTGAGGTACGAGAGATGCCACTGAAGTGCGACCAAGACGAGATTGAGACAAGGATTGACTGATCTTGGGTAGAGGCTGAGGCGAGGCTGGTTTGAGGCTAAGCGAGGCTGGTTTGAGGCGAGGCTGGTTTGAGGCGAGGCTGGTTTGAGGCAAGGCTGGATTGAGGCGAGGCTGGAGAGGCAGGGGTTCACCTGAACTGGAATATCTGGACGCTCTGGTCAGGGACGTGTGTCAGGTTCAGAGACTGGTACCTGCAAGGCAACGGACTGAATGGTACTCAGTTGTGCTGTTGTAGGTAATGTATCAACTACTTCCCTCTACAATACACTCAATATTGACGTGTAAAAAAATTTGTATGGACTACTTCCATCTAGACTCACAGGATTGCTGTAAGAAAGATAAAAAAGAAAGATATAGTCAAACTTTAGGAGCTGAAATATCAGGAATGGAAAACTATGTTATCTATGATAAAAAAATATTCATATATACCCCATCCCACATTATAATTTAATGGAATTAAAAACCACCCCTGGTCGCACAGATTACATTATGTACCTAATGCACGCCTGAGAAATTCGACCTACTATAAAACCGACTGAAACGGCGACCAGTTTTCGCACGCGACCTTTGTGGGCAGAAATGGGCAGTAGCGCGCTACATGTAGCGGCCTCTACTACCGGCCGCTACCTTTTCAATAGCGGTAGCGGCGCTACATTTAAGCAATTTTAGCGGCAGCGGTAGCCCCCGCTACATTTAGAGCATGTAGCAGTAGCGCCCGCTACATTTAGAGCGTGTAGCGGTAGCGGCCGCTACATTTCAAAGTAGCGCTGCCCAGCTCTGATTGTGGGAATAAATGAAAATCAATGAAAAACGAAAGTGTGCATCCGAGGGCTTCAGCGTGCTAACTATACCTACCTGAAACTAACTATACCTTCTGCGTGCTAACTATACCTATACCTAAATCAAAATGTAGCTTATAACGAGCAGTGAATTGCAGAAAATATAGAGAATGAAGAATTGTAAGTTTCTTTTATTCAGCGATTTGTGTGTGGTAGTTGCTTGCTGGCTGATGATTCGTTACTGACTGCTGCTTAGTTAATAATTTTATACTCTTGCCTGACTTATAACCGAGAGAAAATATATTATAACATAAAGCAGAAAATAAATGATGAAGACTACGCCATTTTGATTCTCATGCATGCATCCGGAGTCCACCACGAGAATCTTGATTTGCTTGCCTGTTCAGGCAATTGTGTTTGACCCTATTCTTCATTATTAATATAGCACAAATCATACATTAAATTTCCCTTGTTAAATTAAATTAAATTTCCCTTAATTAAATAAGCTACTGGAAGTTCATTCACCACCACACCACACGCCTCACCACACACCACACGCCTCATCACCACACCACACGCCTCACCACCACACCACACGCCTCACCACCACACTACACGCCTCACCACACACCACACGCCTCACCACCACACCACACGCCTCACCATTCAGAGTTGCGGTGGTAGTAGTAGCCTTCAATGCTTGCCTTCGAGCGTTGGAAGCAGATGTAGTAAAATCCTTCGAATGACGCACCACTGATGTTCTTCACCTGGAAATAAAAATATAATATAAACAACTTAAATAATAAACAAATAAGACAAGGCAGGCTTGGTGTCGCACAATGTCACATAACTGCTAAGGAAGGTGGCAGGTACCCAGTTGTAAATGAAGCTTGCTGATGACTGTAGATGAAACTGGCTGAAAACTATTGATAAAGCTGGTAGAAATCAGTAAATGAAGCTAGCAGACAAGAATACATGAAGCTTGCCAACAAATAAAGATAAAGGTATCAGACAGCTGCAAATGCAGCTTGAAGGAGTAGCTTAGACAAAAAGGTTTCATTAAAATTATTAGAATGGGAATGTTTAAAATACATCAGAAGTTTGAATAGCTATAGTGGTGCTGGTTGCATTATCCTACAAGCATTCAGTGAGATTGTATGAATCATGAAAATTATAACACTGCACTCTAGCTCATAAATATAGAGATTCAGATGTGGACTTCAGAGAAGTCCACATCATAAGATGATCAACTCAAAAGACAAAGTCTCAACAGCAAGACAATTTCCTGTATACAAAATAAAGTGAAGCTGCAACTTACAAACTAAATCAACTGCAGGACTTGGCTTGAGAATCTATGAGGATATTTGAGCTACCTATGGTACCTATTTATTAATAATCTCTACAAGAAAACATAAGCTTTAATGATATACCAACCCACAAGGAAAAAGATGTCATCTTTTATGACACATTAAAATTACCATACGGTAGTCAAGCCATAATCACTCAACAGTTTAACATCACATTAAGACAAAATAAGATCTTTAAAAATTTTGTGAATTTCATCTTTCAATTAAGTGCAAATTCTAGGTGCAGGAGTAGAGATGTCCCAACCAAACTTTCCTATAACTAACAAATTAGTAATAATGCATTTCATGCAATTTAAAATGTTTGTTGAAATAAAACATTTGTGAATTATGGAAAATCTTTTATTGACTTTGCATAAACATGAAAAAAGTTTGTAGATGCATTTTATACAGAGAAAGAAAAAATATTTATTAGAATCAAAACACTCACTGTGTGGTCAGGCACCAAGAACTGCTCCTTCCAGCGCATGTAAATAAATTCACTGTCTTTGAGCGCTTCATAGTCAAAGGAGTCACCATTAAAGTTCTTGGTGTATTGGTAGAAAGAGGGGAACTTCCCCTGGAATAAAAAACAATGTAATAGCATTTAATTGACAATTAAAATTGAGTAAGGATTACTTATCAAGAGTGTTACAAGACATTTATAATGGTATATTCATTAAATACAAATTTTATGTTTGAATAAGTTACATTCAACTTTACATAAATTAATTATAATGAGGCACATGCAAAACTAACTCCTGATCATAAAATATATTTTATGGAAGACCAACTTAGTAAAAGTAGCACTGCAAACATCAAAATGGCCCACAAATTGATTTCCATAATTCTTTTTACTAAAAATTATATTATTTCAGTGATATAGTATATTAAATCTGAAACTCACCCAATGTTTCTTATCGACTTCCTCATCAGCATCCCACTTGCGTGTCAGGAATGGGTAATCAGCACTCACAATTTCACCTTCAAAAAATGTGGTGAGTGTATGATACTCATCTGTCAAGCCAGTGATGGTGAGGTAGCCACACAAGTATGACTTGGCTTCATCAACAAACTGAAATGCATAACCACCCATGTTATAAGAAATCATTAATGAAGAATTACTATATATATATCATAGTTGATAGTCTGGAAATGTGCACTTAGCTGGTAACCATCAATTAAGTTCCATATATATGAATATGGGGATGAAATTTTGGATAATTAGTTTTAGAAAAGTATATACCATACCTATGGAAAAATTATTGACCATCTTTACCAAGAATTTTGAACTAAAAATTAAGAACAATTATTGATGTGACACATTCTCTAAACATGAAAATTTCTCTCTCATGTGATATAAAGAATAATGGAAAATAAAATACCTGATAAATGAACTATACACCCATTTAACCTTCAACAGTGCTTATTCAATGTAGGTATCACACTAACCTGCAATATCACCTCCACATCATAGGACTTCCCTTTTGATTTCTGAAAGCCCTTAAACTTGGACCCATTGAACAGCTGACTAGTAACCACACCAGGTTGTGCACTATTTGCTGGTATAGGAGGATTGATACCATTGCTTGCAATTTTGACAGGCATATTGATCTGGAATAAAAAAATCCACTTAATTGTCTTTGCCAACTGATTTCTGGGTTTGTGATATTAGTGGAATATAGAAACCTGTATTAGGTATAGGTACTGTACTTACTTGTACAAGACAAGACATGAATGATAAAACTATGTTCAAATTACCAATATAATAAATAAAGAAAAAAACTTTCTATGCAAATGCAGGACAATCTTAAGACAAGACTAAACATTTCAGGCACAATAAGAGCTTTAAAAATTGTGGGAATTACAAATTTTAATTGAGTGCAAAAGTAGGTGGAGATTTCCCAACCAAACGTTCCTTAGCACAAGCATGGAATGCATTTTCCATGCACAGTTGGAGCAACAACTTTGTCAGGTTAGTACTAGTCAGCACTAATTATTGAGCTGGTGTCTTGTCACTCTGGTATGTGTACCAGGGTTCAGAGAGTGAGGAAAGATCTGAAGATCTTTGGAAATGCATAAGCAGCAAAGTTTGTCTTCTGAAGATCTTGTCATCTGCTGACACATTTAATGAATTAGAAATATTCTTTATTCTTTGGCAATCATTTCTGCAGAAGCAGGGCAAATAAAGGAACACTGATGGCTACAGTATCATTGTTGAATGAAAAAAATCTTCAGCAACCTTATTTCATTGCTTGCCTCACTTCAAATCTTTTACTAGCACATTCTATCACATTGATCCATTGCAACCCCATTGTTCTCTTGCAACCGAGTTACCACAAAATGGGGTTACTTTGACCGACGGGGTAACTTTGGCCACTTTTTGTTTTTTTAACAAAAACCCCCAAAACTCAAAAACGATTTGACATAGAAAAATTTTTTCAATGGCCATCAAATGCCTAATATATATACAGGGTGTTTCAGAATTAAGTAACCCTTTTAATTTGTTAATAAATAAAAAACTAAGAACGTTATGAAGTTGAAACTTGTTTTATTTAAAAGAAGTACATTTTCATGGTAATATTGCATCATAGTTACGTCATTATCCTGTATAGCTTGCTAAATTTGTGTTTAATTATCAAGCCTTAAATTTTCATCATGATTCGCTACAGCAAAGAAGAAAGAACAAAAATTATCGCTACAGTCTATAAAGATGTCAATAACAGAAGTTCAACGTGATTACAGGATCCATTTCAAAACAAGGATCCTTCAAAAAACACATTTAAATATCTTTATCGAAAATTTGCGGATATCAAAAATTTGCACTCTCGTCAGAAACACTAATGAAGGTTATGAAAGCAACGAAGAGAAGAGCCCTATATTGTCAAAACAATTGTGGTGGGCATTTAAAAGATATTATATTTAAAAACAAGGATACAATATTACCATAAAAATGTTCTTCTTTTAAATAAAACAAGTTTCAACTTCATAACGTTCTTAGTTTTTTATTTATTAACAAATTAAAAGGGTTACTTAATTCTGAAACACCCTGTATATATATATAACACTGTGATATTCTTATATGTACTGTACGTAGTACAGTCAAGTACAACACTCTGATATATATGGTACTGAGGCTACGTAACACAATAGAAAAATTTAAAAAGTTTGCATATCTAATAGGTTAAAAAATTAAAAATGTGACCCACGAAAAAGAGCTATTATTTAAAGCCTGTCGGAGTACCCCCTCCAATTTTTTTATTTTTAGGTAAAATAAATCCAGGTTTTGATGCATTGTAGTAGAACTCTTCTAGTTACATATGCAAAAGACAAATTTTAGATTGCAAATGGGGGCATTGCCCCCCAATGGGGTAACCTTGACCACCTAATGGCAGCCATGGCGGGGTAACATTGACCGGCTCGGAAATTAGGTTAAAATTACCATAGGTACCTACATAACATATTTTATGTTTGATACACCTATTAATGTTTTTATCTTCATAAGACTCTACAGTCTTATATATGGTAATTTAACCCAATTTCCAAACCGGTCAATGTTACCCCGTCACCGCTGCCATTAGATGGTCACATTTTGCCCATTTGGGGGCAGCGCCCCCCATTTGCAATCTATGACACTTTCCTAAAATCTGTCTTTTGCATATGTAACTAGAAGAGTTCTACTACAATGCACCACAACCTGGAGTTATTTGAAGTTATTTTACCAAAAAATAAAATTGATTTTACCACCCGGTCAAAGAAACCCCAAGAGCTGGGGTAACAAAGACCATCACTTTTTTTTTAAATTACATCAAAACTATGAGAGGCAGGAGCCAGCAATTTATGGTGAGTAAAGCTAGAGTATAGACCTGTATTTTGCAAGTTTCAATTTAAGTTTAAGTTATCTAGTAAAAAAATGGCATCATTTTGAAAAAAAGTGGTCAAAGTTACCCCATTTTACGGTACCTATATCAACTCGTTGCTGCATCGTTTACATTACATCCTGTCATTGTGAGCATCGCCAATGAAAGGCTCTTTGTTCTGTCTTCTCTTCTTTGCACCTCTTTGCAGTTTCTTCTAGTTCCCATATTCATTAAATTTTTGTTCTAACAATTTTCCTGCATGGATAACTTGATATTTCAAATACTACCATCATCCTTTTGAAGCCAATCACCCAGGGGTCAGGGTTTTCCTTAATACCCCGTTGTACAGAAATGGCTGCCATTCTGTTTTGTATTGAGGTACAAGAATTTCATTGATGAAGTTTTAAATCCAACACCTGTCTGCAGTTCTTTTCAAGCAAAATTTTTTAATATGGCAAATAATTTTCTACTACAGACCAAAACAGAACATTTTCAAAATGTCACTTTTCAACCTTTTCTTCAGAGATTTCTTTGGAGCTAGTAAATGTATGATTTCTTAACTTCCTATCTTTATGCTACATAGATAGGAAAGATGTTGAAGTTTACACTACTATTTTTAGTTTTGCCACATTTCAATTAGTTTTGCTGCTATAACATTTGTATGCCATGGCAGAGGACTGTCCCAATTAGCCTGCCAGTCCCTTTGCGTACTATTACCCCATTTGATGCTGACAGCACCCTTAAACTAGAGGAAAATAGCCTTAAATTGTTATAATTTTACCCTCTCCCAATTTCTTCAATTAAAAATAAGAAAAACCTCCTAATTTCATCTGATACTTTTCAACAATCAACCGTGATACAATCATTTGTACCTGTGGTTCTAGGAAAATTCTGCCCAATAATCCAGATTGGGCTCCAGCCTGTGAGCTTGATTTAAAAGTTTGTATTTTGCAGTGTGCAGTTAGCCTCACTTCAGGGTTCAGATCCTATATTTTATGATCATCTCTCATCGTGAATTTTTGAAGGTCTCCTGCGAAAAAAAAAAAATTCCATGACTTTTCCATGACTCTCCATGACTATCAATATAACTTTCCAAGACTCATATATGACCAGTTTAGCATGACTGTAAGACCAACCATGCATATTTTATCATCTCCTACAGTTGATAAATAGCAAACATTTAAATTCATAGAGCAGGCAGACGCAGTGGCAGTAGACACTGCAGTGCTGATGCGTGCTGACTTTTGCAATGGCCTATTCCCTGATACACCTTTTGAGCAAGAAACTGCAGTTGCAGTGCTGTCGGCAGACCACAAATTGTAAATGCATGACTGTGCTTTGCTTATCTCTTCACTGTGTTGCTTAGCTAACTTGGTGAAGGCAACACAGTTTTAGACTAAATCATTCTTGTTTGTCTCAGATACTGGAGCATCACCACCAAATCCTTGCCATGCTCGGAGGAGGGGGCTGGGGTGGACGCGCAGACGTGGTGTATTTGGACTTTGCAAAAGCATTTGACAAAGTTGACCATGGAGTGCTCTTCAGAAAATTAAGACTGCTGGGGGTCAGAGGTGAATTGCTGGCATGGATCCACAGCTTCCTAGAAGAAAGACTGCAAGCTGTTGTTGTAGGAGGCTTGTGATCAAGCAAGGCTAGGGTGAAGAGTGGAGTACCACAGGGAACAGTTTTCGGCCCAATCCTCTTCCTCATTCACATCACCGACATAGATGTGGCAGTGAACCACACCTCTGAATCGTCATTCACGGATGACAGCAGGATGCTTATGACCATAATGGACAGGACTGACTGTGAGAGGTTGCAAGAAGACCTCTCTGCAATATATGACTGGGCCCAAGTGAACAAAATGCAGTTCAACGGGACCAAGTTTTAGGTTCTGAAACACAGAAGTAGAGGAAGAGCTGGTATAGAGCACTGCTACATAGCACCTGACAACTCAGAAATTGAAGAGAAGTGACTTGTTTGCAATCTAGGAGTGTTGATGAATACCGTACTCAGGTCAATTTTGGTGATCACATAATGGCAATAACTGCAAGAGGTGGGCTACAGATGGGGTGGATGTGGCAAGCGTTCAGAAAAAGAGGCCCTGAAATGAAATTTGATGACTTTCCAGGCCTGGAAAATGAAAAATCAAATTCCATGACTTTCCAGGTATTCCATGACTTTCCAGGTTTTCCATGACCAGTATGCACCCTGGAGTCTGGACATTGTGGAAAATCAGAGAGTTTTTTAGTCTCTCCTTCAATTAAGCAAAAGTTATTTACTTTATTGTAAATCAGAGATGCAGCATGCAGGATTTAGGGAACTTGGGCATGTACCATTATATTTTATAGGAAATTAGGTATTACTAAATTTTACAAGCAGTGATGATTTTAGGATTTTAATCCAAAAACTTGCAAAAAAACTTTTTCAAAATTTAAATGTGATAGATAAATAATCTTTATAATTTTCATATATATGACGCAAAAATTATTGATCATTTATGAATATCAAAAACATTAAAAAAATTTCATGCTTTATTCTAATCTAGGAACAGCACCTACAGACACAGTAGATAAGCCGCTGTGCTGAGCAAACACGACAGTAGCCAGTAGGTATATATATGAGTACCGTAAAATGGGGTAACTTAGACCATTTTTTTTTATAAATGATGCCATTTTTTTACTAGCTAAATTAAACTTGAATTGAAACATGCAAAATACAGGTCTATACTCTAGCTTCACTCACCATAAATTGCTGGCTTCTGCCTCTCATAGTCTTTATGTAATTTAAAAAAAAGTGATGGTCTTTGTTACCCCAGCTCTTGGGGTATCTTAGACTGGGTGGTAAAATCAATTACCGTCAACCGGGGCTACTCGGGACAGATTTGAACGATTAGTTTTAAATAACAGTTAATAACTTCTTACGATGAAAGATTTCATAAACAAGTTTAGTCTCATTTTATAGCTGATTGGCAGGGCTATCAAATGGCGTTGTCAAAAAAATTCCATATGCTATTCGTAAGGTGCCAGACGCAAAATAGAGATTGTGGGGCTACTCGGGACAATGGGAATAAAACTTCATTTCAAAACATTTGAAGCATGCAGAGCATACTCATCCATTACTAACAGTACTCTGAAGTCCTCCTCTTTCATTGTAGATGATGTAGAGGTAGAATAAATGACATTTTCTGTGATTTTTACTTGTTTTTCCTTTATTGATATGATTTGCATTATACATTAATTACCTTATTATTGATGTGACATTATCCTATTATTGATGTAATATTACCATATCCATGAACATGCCATTGAGGATTTACAACAACCTTGTCCATTGCAAGCTTCATATCAGCAGCCTTATAAAATTTTTTTCATATCTGTAAGCTTACAGGAAGGCTTGTAATTTCACATCATTTTAATTGGGACTTCCCCTGATCATTAACTTCCCGTGGTCATTAATTTCATGTGATCATAACTTCACGTGATCATTAACTTCGCGTGATCATTAACTTCCCATGATCATTAACTTCGCGTGATCATTAACTTCGCGTGATCATTAACTTCGCGTGATCATTAACTTCGCGTGATCATTAACTTCCCGTGATCATTAACTTCCCGTGATCATTAACTTCACGTGATCATTAACGCCTGTCTCTTATACACATCTAGATGTGTATAAGAGACAGATATAAGACTCTGTAGAGTCTGAAACATAAAGAAAAAACATAAATAGGCTGTCAAACATAAAATATGTTATATATGGTAATTTTATATTAACTCTCAAGCCGGTCTATGTTACCCCGTCAGGGCCGACATTAGGTGGTCTAAGTTCCCCCATTTGAGGGTGATGCCCCCCATTTACAAACTATGACACTTTCCTAAAATTTGTTATTTGCCTATGTAACTAGAGTTCTACTACAATGCATCAAAACCTGGAGTTATTCAACCAAAAAATAAAAAAATTGGAGGGGGTACTCTGACAGGCTTTACATAATAGTTTTTTTTTTTTTTTGTGGGTCACATTTTTAATTTTTTAACCTATTAGATATGCAAACTTTTTAAATATTTCTATTGTGTTATGTAGCCTCAGTATTAGGCCTTTAATGCTCATTGACAAAATTTTTCTATGTCAAATAGTTTTTGAGTTTTGGGGGTTTTTGTTAAAAGAACGAAAAGTGGTCTAAGTTACCCCGCCGGTCAAAGTTACCCCATTTTACGGTATATATATATAATTTTGATGCCCAACATTCTGCTACATTTGCTGTGGTTTTATTAATCAATCTTTTTCAATCATTAAGAATTTTATAGAATAATTCCATTGTTGTCAGTTGATTATGAATAAAATGACAATAAATGAATTTGGTAAGAAATTTATGAATCTCTATTATGTGTGGGAGTGAAAATTGTTCTATTATTTCCTAAATGTTTAATTAATCATGAATACCTAAATTGTCATTTACTCAAGATTTAAACCAGTGGTTCCCCAAGTCAAAGTGGGCAATATCACCAGCCATGAGTCCAGGCCAGCCATAAATTTGTCCAAGCTGTCTTGATTGAATTTCTAGTCATCTAGTGCCGACCACTGTGCAGAGAGTGGATGAATATTGCAAGATCTTTGGCAACGCTTCAGTAGCAAAATTTATGCCTTCAGAAGATCTTGCCAACACATTTAGATTGAAATTCTTGCATTTAATATATTTGTCAGTCTTTGGCCAACTGTTAAAAAAAAATTAAGGTGTCCGATATGTTGGATGGATCAAAATGCAGTGAAGCTTGTCCGGAAATCAGTTGCGATGAGTTCCTGCCAAAAAAATGTAAACGTCAAGCTTACAATTACGTAGTTGTGGTCACATTAGAAAAGTCAGACTGCATTATCACATGTTCAGTTGACACTTGCTGTACAATCAGACTGTTTTTAGGGTAAAATTAGTTACTTGGGGTAACACATGCATGCAACCTTGTAAATAAGTTTGTGGCTTGTAAATAGTTTTTCATTACTCAGCGAAAATCATGAATGGCTTTTCATTAAAAATTACCCGGCAACGCATCTTAAAATTACCCAGCGACGCTTAGGGCTTAAAAACCCATATATTGGCAATGCTGCATCCACCCTCTGCACCCTGGAGTGCCAAAACAATTAAGACTGTAAAAAAGTATATTGGTTTAGTAAATGGGGTTCTATTTGTGAAAATACTCAGGTCAATACAAGGTCAGCCTTTCTCTTTTACAATTACAGCATATTATATATTAAGAAAGAGGCGTTTATTTTTATATGTCTGTCAGGGGGGGGGGGCGCTGGAGATTCACTGGGGAGCCAAAGGGGGCACCACTCCACCACACCAGGCTGAAAAAGTTTGGGAAGTTGGTGGAACCACTGACTTAAACCAATATTATATTTGTATGTGCAATGTGCATTAATAATGCTGGACAGCTGGTGTATCTCTATGATACTTTGCTGGTCAACTTCAGGAAGGGTCTAAAAAGGTTTCTGCTTGCCACTTGGCCACTGCTGATAGTGGGCAGTGGGACTGGGACAAGTTCCACAATCCAGACAAGACTTCTTCACTCGCAAACATTTTGATTTAGTCTTGAAATTATCAAGCGTTACTGTTAGAGGCACTGATTATTTACTCCCGTAGTCTGTACTCCATAGGATAGTGAAGACTGAAGAAAACTTTGAACTGATCAGACAATTTGAACTGAGGCTAGAAAATCACTCGCTTACCACTATGCGCCGCCTTCAACTTTGAAGATAAAATCACGCTCTGCAAACGGCAAATCTTGTCCATAGTGACAAACCTTGGATTTTTTAGAATCAGTTCATTTTTAATTTCCTCATTTACACATGATTTAAACCAATTTCTTATACAAGATCATGCAGGTATCCAGGATAGGTACTTTACTGGTCTACATATAGGACTCAAAATGCACTTGAGGTAGAGTCTAAAAAAACTCTCTGCTTTGCCACTATTCTTGTCTTGTCAGGTGTTAAAACTCAGCTGTTAACACACTGCCTCACATGTCTCGGAAGCCAAGAGCCCAAGACCATGAGTATCTTCTTTTCCGGGCGGCGGGCGTGACCATGCTGGAAGGCTGGATAGAGTGGACTTGAAGGTTAAAGCCACAGGACAACCGCAAGGATGACCGTTGGGCCTGGGACAGGTCGCCTGCCGTTGCTGCCGAAGACCACCACTGCCCTGGATGTAATGGACCATGGGAGCGCAGCCCTGCGTCCCCAATTTTGTGCACCAATAAGCCCTGAATCGAACGCCTTGGATCTCTCCGGAGTCCGGATATCCACCAATCAGCCGTGCACCACTCGGCTTTGTCCTCTTCCAGCCTTGACCACCACCTGCCGTGCACCACCAGGCTGCGGATCGAATCTGACTTCCGGGCATCGTTAAATTACGTAATTTTACGTTCACCGCATGACCGCATCTGAGGTTAGGTTTCAGATAGCATAGTTCTGTTCCAAAATTTATCATCCTTCAACAAGTGGCCGTTCGACCGAGGGCTGTTTTGACCCACGGCCTAGATACGGACGGCTGGAAGTGTTGAAGGCTACGTTCCGGACGGCAGGAATCATGATGGTCCATTACATCCAGCCGCCAGGGCAGTTGTGGTCTTCGGCAGGCGACCCATGGACCATCATGATTCCTGCCTTCCGGAACATAGCCTTCAACACTTCAACTTCAGGCCATCCGTATCTAGGCCGTGGGTTGAAGTAGGCTAAGCAGCCCTCGATCAAACGGCCACTTATCAAAGGACCATAAATTTTGGAACAGAACTATGCTATCTGAAACCTAACCTCAGAGGCTCAGATGCGGTGAACGTAAAATTACATAATTTAACGATGCCCAGAAGTCAGATTCTATCTGCGGCCTGGTGGTGCACCGCCGTGCACGGCAGGTGGTGGTCAAGGTGACAAGGCCGGAGGAGGACAAAGCCGAGTGGAGCACGGCTGATTGGTGGATATCCGCAGAGATCCAAGGCGTTCGATTGTAATCGATTCAGGGCTTATTGGTGCACGGCTACGCTCCCCCTGGGACCGTGTGTATAAACTTCTAATGCACAGCTGTCCGCATTCGGTGATTCGGGCAGTTTGTTGGCTCCTATCACCTTGAATTTGTCTCGGACAAATTTACGGCCGGACTCGCAGCCAATCTCACAGACAATCTCCAAATTCAGTGATGAAGGAATATCTCTCAAACTAATGAATGCAGCTCAATGAAACTTGGTACACTTATTCATCAGGACCTAACAATGAAGTTTTTGCCAGTGAATTTTGTTCCCCATTTCACCTTCATTCGTGAATTATACGGCAATTCGGATCAAAATTTGCAGTGACCAAGAACTTTCTCTTAAACTACTGAACATATTTGAGCGGAACTTTGAATAAACATTCCCAACCTACTAACGGTGATTTTTTTTTTATAGTTGGGGTTAAGACTTGTGGGAACAAATGCACCCACCAGCCTGTTCTCTGTCAGAAAGAAAAAGCAAAGCAGCAGACTCGAAGCTCTGCTAGACTAGGATGCTGCCTCCAACACACTATGGACCAATGCAGTCCACACTTGCTGGGCCTCACAGCCAAAAGCTGCTTGTGCCCGGAGATGATCCTGTTGCAAGGTAGATATTCTGGCAAGTTACAAGTTTTTTATACATTTGAATAAATTGCTCTCCGTCATAGTAGATTCACCATGCCAGTCTGCAATAAAAATTGTGATAGATAAGAAAATACTAAAGGGCGTTGTGCTGCAGGGATCTCAGCTCCTAAGGCTGTGTTCAGGTTCCAAGGGACTCCAATGCTAGCCAATGCGGTGGTAAAGGCTGCTTTAAGTCTAGGACCTGCAAATCTAACACAATCAAGCATGAAATGCGAGATGGTGTCCTCCTGGCGACAAACAGAGCATATTGAGTCCTGTGCCATCCCGAAGCGCGCCTGGTGTGCACCAACGCCCGCGTGGCCAAGGCGCAAACGGGCCACTGCACACTGCATTCTCCGACTGAGGCAGCTGTAGTCAATGTGATCAATAGAGTTTTCAAGAGTTCAAAAATGGCCACTGCCAGTCTCTGCAACCTGTCTGTTCCAGTGCTCCTTCTATTGGGTGAGGAATGACCGCTTTAACTGGCACATTAACTCCTCAAAGCACAGGATTGAACGAGAAGATCTGTCAGCGCTATGAGAAAGATTAGCAACCTGGTCAGCAATCTCATTGCCTCTCAGTGTCTCACTCCACTGTGGCTCTTCACCCAGCAGAGGGAGACTGAAGTTAGCCCTTTCTGTAAAAGCAGCATTTGAATTCTAAAGACTATTGAAGCATAATTGGGGCGCCAAGTGTTCCTGAATTCTGATAAGATACAAGGAGGATTTTGAGTCTGTAAGTATAACCACTGGGCGGCTTTGAAGATCTTCACAACTTAGGACTAATTCCAGTGCCTTGTAGATGGCGAACAACTCTGCTCCCAAGTCCCATTATTGTATGGGTTGGTGACAGTAGCCAACCTGTTGCCAGTGACAGTGACGGAACATATACACCAGCGGAAACTGAGCCCTCAGCTGAGCGTGAACCATCTGTGTAGATCTGAACATGGTCAGGGTAGGTAAATTCTAGCCTATGAGCTAGTAGAGCAGAGGAAGAGCCATCGATATTTCAGACAAAAATAGGACTTTTCCAGACTAGGGATAGAGAGACTGTCAGAGACACTGAGAGCCCCGCCTGGCCCCGGCCCGCTGACCAAAGTGGCAAAGCAGAGAGTTTTTTTTTAGACTCTCCCTCAAGTTCATTTTGAGTCCTATAAGTAGACCAGTAAAGTATCATGGATACCGCATACCAGCATCATCATACATAAGAAATTGGTTTAGATCTTGAATAAATGAGGAAATTAAAAGTAAACTGATTCTAAAAAATATCTGCTTTGCCACTATGCCCCGCTCCTGGATCCAGACAGATGTTCCTTCACAGTGAGATGTTTGGCGGGAAGGGAGAGAAGGCAGGGGTGCCTACTCTTTGTGGAAGTGCGAGTCCATGATCATTAAACAAAGATTGCGCCTGTGCTGCAAATGGCTGTTGATTGATAGGTGCACCACCGGGACCACCCTGAGAAAGCCCCAGTAGACTAGTCAATGAGCTCTGCTCAGGCAAGTATAAATATCGTAGGGTCCATTTCATGACGAGGAAGCGAAAACGAAGACAAAGAGGAGGTAAAAAACATTCCGTCTCCAACGACAAAATTGGTGAGGTGCGACGGGCACCAAGGATTAGGCGCAGTGCACTGTTCTGTATTCCATTCAGGAGCTTCATACGTGTAGCTGGGAGCTCTCCAAGGACACTGCAGCCATACTCCAACTTGCTACGAATAAATGCAATGTATACTCGCCTCAGCAGATGACTTGAAGCACCCCACCTCAGGGCACTCAATGCTCTCAGNTCGACGCAACGTTCAGTGGTGGACGGCCATTCGACCCTAGGCTATTCGACCTCGTGTCTGGGGGGTGTGGAGCTCAAAATATTCAAAGCAGAAGGATGTCAATGATCGGTTACGGATAGCAAATTCCATTCACGGCTGATTGGTGGATGTCCGGAAAGATCTAAGGCGTTCGATTCAGGGCTTATTGGTGTACAAAATTTGTGGTGCACGGCTGCGTTCCCTTCAGTAGTTTAAAAGGAATATCTTGGTCACTGCAAATTCTGGCCCGAATTGCTCTATAACTCACGAATGAAGGTGAAATGGAAAATTTTTTAACATCACCGTTAGGTCCTAATGTATGGGCTACGTGTACGGTTGTACCAAGTTTCATCGAACTACGCTCATTAGTTTGGGATATATTCCTTGTCCTTGGTCATTGAATTTGAAGATTGGCCGTGAGACCGGCTGTAAATTTGTACGACACCTCTGGACGTCTCTAGACCACGCCGTCTAGCAGCCGAAGAGGTTCTTGCCGTAATTCTGGGCTCAATTCAATTTAAGTGAAATCTTCAGTGTTTCTTAGTCTAGAGAAGTTTACCTTTACCAATTACGATTTACTTTGCATAGGTAATTTACCAAGGTAGTTTTTAAATGTTTATTGTATATAATTTGGCGCCGGCGGGCTGTCAGGAACCTGATGTGGTCTCGACCGTAACTTACGGGATCATCCCGTAACGCGTATATGGCAATTTAACGTTGGTTCGCCTTACCTGTCTCCAGCCAGTCAATCATTAGCAAGCGTAAGGGGCAGAACTCAATTTCATACAGTTCTGCTTTAATTAGTGTTCATGCCTGTCTCTCGTGATCATATGAGAAAGTAATTCATACCTATCATCGAGTTGAAGATCATGGGTTAAACCTACTATACTACCATATGCTGTCCATCAACCACTTATACCCTCAATATCGACGAGGGTGCGTTCTTCCTTAGTTTTAGCCAAGGAATGATCGGTAAACGTAAACTTTTGCTCTACATTATTTAATTGCACGGTTCAGGGACTGCATTGCGAACAACGTATTGTATGCATCGTCTAGTTAAATTGGTATCTGTTGCTTCCTTGTCGTAGAAGCAATTTGACGTCTAATATCGGAGAACTCTGTCATTCCTTTGTCGAGGAAAGTTTTGTTGTAATTGCCCATCCTGGTAGTGGCGACTAGGGAGGGGGGTGTGATAGGTCAGTTTTTCCGGGCACTCTGTGCCACTGTTAGTTCTACGACCATCACTAGCTCGCTGACCCGCCAGAAAGTTTTAACAATGCAAGGAAATCTGTTCGAATCATCTGGAAATTTATACTAACTATGAATTGCTCCCGAGAAATGCGAATGTTGCGAGCCTGCGTCA